GAATTACTTACTTCACACAACATTTGGTACCAAAGAGCATCTACAAAATATTATTAAGACAAAATGAAATTAATACAACTAATAGTTTTTGAACCACCATATTATTTTCCAAAATGACAATGTAACAAACTAACATTTGATCCTATACATGTACACAGATAAAAGACTCAAAGGCTCCCTTGGGCTAGGAATTAATCTCAACTGTTTCAGAGAAACTTGCTACCCAACAAGACAGCTCAAAATATCTCCTCGTAACACACACAAAAAAAGCCATCTTTCTTACAGAAGATAAGACGCTAGCTTTACTCTACTTCTAGATTCAGACAGATAAATGTAGCAAAGATGCATAAATTCAGGATTACTGTAAAGGAATATATCCTCTTCCTCACTGATGGGGAATCATGCTCATCCTCTCTGATTTCTTCTTTCTCCCTTAATGTGAGTTTGGCAGGAAGTAAAAGAAGCTGAATAAATAGCTTGCTGCGAAAGAACAATCAGTTACTTTAAATAGTGTTAGAAACACCAAAACAATTGACTGGAAGAAGATCCAACTAATCTTCATGCTAAAGAGAAACTCTCCTTGTTCCAATCTAACTCCATTGTCATTTGCTTAGTATTCAGAAATGAAGAAAAAGCTAAAGGGAGAAGCTCAGAGAAATGCAGGATTTTATACTTACAAAAGCAGGAGGACTCAAGCCAGTAACTTCTCACATATTAAATCATAGAATCACAATTGTTCTGTAGCTTAAAATTAACGCCAGGGAAGGTATTTCCAGAAGGGAAACATCTAGAGAGACAAGAAAAGCACTTTCTCTCTTGATCTGTCAGAAGCATTTTGCACATTTCTAAAATTAAAATAAGAGTTTATGAAGCAAGAGGAAAGTGGATGTAAAAAACTTCACAGCCTGTGACTACGAACTGCATCATCATCTAATATCATCTATAGTAAAAGAACACAGGAATGACCTGACTGTGGCCTGAGCTGCCAGCTTGTATTTTAGTCACGCTGAAAACAAGTAAAGAAGAAACGGAACACTATGCACAGAAGGTTACTGACTTTTAAAGAGGGTGGCAAGGGATAATTCAGATTCTCAATGAGAATTATGTGCCTAATTGCAAACATAACCAGGAACATGGTTATCACAAAGAGAAAGTAGCTCTTCAGGATACAGGACGATCATGTGGCAGGAGCTGCATGCTCCATGCTGCACTTAGCACTATAATTTAATTCCTGTGGGTACCAATGGTGAGATCGCATTTGAACAAGCTTATGAAACTAAAGCACCCGAGGTGGTTGAATGACTTTGCTCCAGCACCAAAATAAAGTATTTTTCCATGTTGGCATCAAAGAAAGAACTACTGACACTTAATAACAAACAAAAGTGTTTGTTACTGAGAGGAGGAAAAAAAAAGAAGCAACTTCTGATAGACTTTTTGAAACTGTGCTTTGAATCCTGCCTACCCCATCCTCTCCAAAACATGAGTACCTCAGCCACAAATCAGATCAATTACTCAACATTTGCAGCATAAATATTAGGTAGACTTGTACTCTAACAGCACAAATGAAACGCAAACTGATTTTGCTTGCCTAGGACTCACAGCTATTTTCTGAAGGATGAAAGAATTACAAGGATTACATGTATTAGTATATAAGCAGCTGTTTCCAGTGTTAGATGCAAAAAAAAAAAACCAACGTAGGGTCCTTCCTGGTGGACATCAAGTTGAACATGAGCCAACAATGTGCTCTGGTGTCAAAGAGGGGTAATGGTATCCTGAGCTTCATTAGGAGGTGTCTTGCCAGCAGATCAAGGGGGGCAATCCTTCCCCTTTAGTCAGCACTGATAAGGCCAAACTGGGTGTACTGTGTCCAGTTTCGGGCTTTCCAGTACAAGAGAGACACAGACATACTGGAGAGTCCAGCAAAGAGCCACTAAGATAATTAAGAGACTGGAGCATCTCTCCTATGAGGAAAGGCTGAGAGAGCTGGAACTGTTCAGCCTAGAGAAGGCTCAGGGGGATTTCATCAATGTACACAAGTACCTGTAGAGAGGGTACAAAGGTGATGAAGCCATGCTCTTTTCAGTGGTGCCCAGTGAAAAAAACCTGAAATACAGGAGGTTCAGTCTGAATATTTAGGAAACAGCTTTTCACTGTGAGGGTGACTGAGCACTGGCACAGGTTGCTCAGAAAGGCTGCGGAGTCTGCATCCTTGGAGATATTTAAAAGCTATCTGGACACTGTCCAGGGTAACTGGCTCTACGAGGTTAGACTAGATGACCTCCAAAGGTCCCTTCCACCATCACCTGCTCTTTGACACTAAAATTTAAATATAAATATAAGGAGAGTATGAATTGGTTCCAGATTAGAGTACATTTAAGAGCAGGACTGCACAGATGATCCACAGATTGAAGGAGTTGTTAACAATAACAAGACACACCATTGCTACAGCGCAACCTGCGTAAGGCAGAGCAAAACCACACTGTCTGTATAATTATCAGTAATAAGTTCATCTGTCTGAAGAACAAAGAATGTGAAATACATTTACTTGGATGAGAGCAATTAAAACATCACTAATGATGATGAAAATTCGTGGGATCATGGTGGATATGTAGCTGAACATAAGTTTTGTGCTACACTCAGGCCAAAGGAATGGATGCAAATTCTCAAGATATAAATACAAGACTAACAGGATAAAATTATACGGGTCATACTATCAATATTTTCATCAGTGAAAAAGACCACATAGGAAGGTACCCAGTTCTGGAATGTGCTTACAATGTGCTTACCATGCCAGAAGGAAGTACTGGAGATAATTCAGAAAATAACAGCATCATAATTTTTAGGATTGAAAAACATGAGTCCCAACGCAAGCTGTCAAAATGCAACCTCTCAGCTGCAACCAAGCCACACCTAAGCATTTACTTAAACAACAAAAAGTTGGTAACAGAAGACAGACAATTCTGCCTTCGATTTCACTGACAAGCGTGTAAAACCATGCAGTTGCTGAAAGTTGAAACAAACCCAGAAACATTTAGCAGCACATTTTACTTGCTTTAAAGACTGCAAGAGTAATTAGACACCTAAACAAGATCAAGCCTTGGGATTTTTTGTTTGGGCTGTTTGGTTTCGTTTGGTTTTTTTTAAATTAAGTAGAGATTTATTATTCAGCCATGCCTGCTCACCCCAAAGGTTAGGGGCATAATTTTTGGACTTGAAACAAGTATTAAATTTCAGGAATTTCTATTATCAAAATAAAGGTTCATTAAATTCACTTGAAGATCTCTAAAAATTGATATCCACAGTCTTTACTGCAGTTAAGGGCAGGCTCCAATAAGTGCGGCATGATATAGGACATTCCAGAGCTTCTCCACCACAAGCATACCAAAATAGAGAATTTCAGTAGGTTTTGGAATGAAATCCTGCACTTTCTGAAGACAATGTCATTTTCTTCGTCCAAATGAAACAGCATTGTGTTGTATCCCTTCCTCTAAAAGGTGGCCATTTGTAACAGTTTTTCATATTGGTCTCTGTTCTTCATCTGCCACAGGCACACACAACTAAATCTATCTTACTGAATTAGGAGAAAGCAGAGCTTTGAAATTGATTTCAGAGAATCTTGGTAATACTGAGTTAAGTCAGAAATATCTGGCAGCTGTGGTCTCGAGTTGTTGGTTTTTTGTAATATCTTGCTTGTTTTCCCTAACCTTCCCCCCAGTACAATCTCTTCCCTACTCATGCTGAAAACAAACACTGTTCTGGAAGGAAGTCGACTTCTGTACAGACTACAGACTCTGTAGTGTTTACTACAGAGAAATGACAGAGGAAGGATGGAGAAATGGATATGCATCACAGGATGCAAACATTACTGTATCAATAATGCTTTTGCTATAGTTCAATTTACATGCTTTTCTATCACATAGACAATCATCATAAAATCATAATTTCAAATTCATGTAGCAGAACTCAAGAAAGAAAAAAAAGTACTGTACAGTAAAGACAAATGGGAAGGCTGAGTTTTCTTAAATGGTACTTACACCAAGAGCAGCTTCATAGGTAACTTCTGATGGGAAGGTAAACGAAGTCCCTGCTGTGACTGGGCTGCTAGGGGGTGGAGTCACAATTAGCCCGGTAGTACCAATATGAACCTGCCAAAGGAATAAACCAACAAACCAGCAGGGTCAGTTCTGAGTAGTTTAATAAGAGCTGGGTTTGACATAGCTGTAAGCTTCATGGTCAGAATCACCAGTACTCTACTGTCTGTAACTTTAGACTAGACCTGATCTTTTGTTACACATGCAAACAGTATTGGATCACACTGCTTGCTTTTTTTTTCCCTTGACATTTCAGAAAGTTTGGAGATAATGAACTAGCAATACAAAACACTTTAACCAATGTCAGTTTTCCTTTTTTCCATAAAGGGCTGTCAGATCCCAAAGAAGTGCAAATAAAACATATTTTGCTAACTCATGTAAGATCACACCAACACTTCATGAACTACTGTAGCTTGTAACTAAAAGCTTAAAAGAAACCGGAGATTAACAAATAAATAAAGCCAGATAAATATTACTACTTATCACAATCAAATTATTATGGTACATTTCTGGAATTCATGAAATTTTCAAATTGAATTTACCTTTTACTTTAATGCGTTTTGTTACATCTAACATTATATTAAATTTTAGGAAAAAAACCAGTAACTTAAATAACTCCAGTTTCTAGTTTTCACAGTTTAATAAAACTCTTTGTGGCACTTCAGAAATTAACAACTGTGGAAAAAAAAGTAGCTTACAAGAACAAATATATTTGCTATCATTGTATAAGATGCGTTGTAAAACGTTTTCCTTAAATGCTCTCATGTTGGAAGATAAACTTTGCGAAAGCATATATAAATCTTAATTACATATAATTAATAATTTGAAGTCATCTGACAAGTTTAGAAGCCTATATACTTATTCTTTTAAAACACGCACACGATTTGTATTTTATTTCATTTAAATTACCTGAGAAGGGGCACTACAGGAAAGTCCTGTCAGCTCACTTATGCGGGCTGCTGCAGTTGGGTTGCTGGAGCTGATGAGGACAGGAGGACTAATTTCCATTGAGTGGCGATTCTGAGAAGACTGTGAAGACTTGTTTGACATAGTGAGGGAGGTAAAAGAGTGCCGTTTTTTGGTGTTTTTCTTAGTATCGGTGTGCTTTTGGGTTGAATTGTTGTGGGCTGCCCCAGAGGTACCTTCTCCAGAGTCAACAGCAGAACCTGAGGGCTTATCCAATTCTATCAGTTGTTTGGCTGCTGTGTTAAACTACAAAAGATAGTAACACATTAGTATTCTTTTACTTATAAAAATCACCAATTATAACAAAAATATCTATTTTTCCTTTTATTCATAATATAATAGAATTTAAACCATACAACTTAAAACAGTTAAATACTGACCTACTCTACAAATCAGTCACTACAGCACGACAAGTCTTTCAGCACAAACTCGACACATGTACTGTTTGGCTGGTGTGGACTACCCATCAGAGGTAAAATGTCAATCAAGACCATTACGGCCTAGCCCAGCCACAGATTAATTCAGCAGTATTCACTGCCTGTGTTATCTAGAAGTCAGACTAAAGCACAGTGGTCACCTCTGAACTTATAATATAAAAATCTGTATTACAAAACTTCTTGCCTTTTTTGGTTTGTTTCTGACTATGACATAAACCCACACCTTTACACGTGGGCTCTTGAAGACAGTCCTCTTAGTTTCCCTTGGTGCACTTATCTTTAAAACTGCCAGTAGTAAAAAATAGGCTTCCTAAATGCAGATTTAAGAACAAAGTAGAACAGACTGAAGATCCAGCTGTATCAGTGTACTGCCTGACAACAAGTAGCCATACAAGCATAAGACAGTACAAGGAGAAAAGGAACTTATACTGGCAGTTCTGTGGAAATACCTTCTTAGCTTTTGAATTTTCTAATGCAGAAGCAGCTTCTCTCTGCCTAAGAACATGCAAATGGATTTTTCTTTTTTAGGCTTATCTAATGAATTTTTGTTCACAATGAAATTTTCTATTTGATACAACAATATTATATTAAATGCAAATGAATCCTTCCTTTCCAATGAAGAAATATGGAATCCCACACATTTTCTTGGATTAAACACATTTTCTTACAAGGAAACGTAAGCTATGCAAAAGAGGGAGGGAAAAAACCCAAATCACCAACCCTACATTTTTCATAAACCCTTTATTTCCAGAAAATCTTATTTATATTTTAGAGCTACTAGACATTATAATGTCAGAACTCTCTCATTTTTTCATGAGCTGAAGAAACAACAGCACTAGTTTTTTGAACGTTAACTAGTGTTAGTATGCACCACTAAATATGAATACTGTTACTTGAATAAGTGTAGCCAATTATGAAGAAGGGAAAAGATTTTTCTGAAGAATATCAGGACCAAAGAATGAAATTAGTTACTGTAGAATTACTATTTCTATTCTTCAGCATACTATTTCTTTTTATACATTTTTCCACAAGTCCTAAGACACCTATTATGCTCTCTAAGAGTTTTAAAGCAATATTTTACCCCATCAGAACTTTACTAGACAAATTCATCACTATATCATCAATACTGATTTAAATGCAGCTCCCACAAATGACAACAGCTTACACCCTGAACACATTCCTATCTCTCGGTACAAGTACATATATATTAAGTGGTACAAAAGAAT